ATTTCTCTCAGTGAGGAGAGCCTTACTCAATGGAATGATTTAGCTTACGTTTTGTTGAACCCAAGCCAGAAGGAAATAATCAAAATGACATCTTAAAATCAAAAAAAGAAGGAAAAAAAAAAGATCTCCAGGCTAAAAAGAATGAGTTTTAGAAAACTGAAGCCAGAGGTATATAGCTGATACAAAAGGTATAGTCATGACAAAGACTGACAAGCTAACTAAAGTGGGAGAAATGGAAAATACTAAATGAGGCATTCTACTGGAAAGTACAAACTATTTATCTAACCTTCCTCTAATAAACATACTTAGAGAAAGTAGTATTAAGATTTCAATGTCACCATTATCCATTGTTCCTCTACTGGCTTTGTTATGTTAAGCAAAGTGAGTGCCCCCACAGATTCCCAGAACACTATACTTGCTTCCAATAATTGTTCTAGATCATTGATAATTATGAAGTATATGGAAGTACTTTGAAAATGAAAAGGATTTAGGCACATTTAAGATATTAGGACTGATAATACAGATAAAAGATGTCAGCAGCAAATCAAAAACTAAAGAAGATGCACATAATTCTCTTTCCTTTTTTCTTGTGTATCTAGACATAAATTAGATTATACAGTCTCTGCTAAGACTAGCCAAAGCTGAGACACTTTTCCAGCCAAAGCTCTCTACTTTTCCAGGCCAATCTTCTCTTGTGCATTGCCAAATTCTCTTTCTCTTAATTTCAGATTACCTTCTCTAAACCTGCAACTGGATTCCACAGACTCTCTCATCTTGCAAAGACCCTCTCAAAACTCTAAAGGAAATCAATTCTTGACTTTAATAAAACTAGAAGATACATTTCAAACTACAAAAACAAATCCTAAAATAATATTGATACAGTAAAAGCTGTCTTAATCCACTGACTGAAACAATTGATGTCCTCCATATTCTAAATGTGTTTTACAGAGGATGAGAAAACATAAAATAATCTGAAAAATCCATGGGGCTAGGGGTCAGGGTAGAAAGCAGCTTGGTAAAAGCCTTCGACTATGAATTCTACCTTAATGGACTTTTGAATTAACGAACATCTGGTCCTGATTGAACCAGATAAGAAGCTTCTTTTTAATCAACTATGAAGCATTTTGGTGTGGAGGTGAGAGTGTAATGAGGAGCAGAAAGTCAGCTGTAGTTTTTCTGTTCCAGAAGAGCAGAACTCAAGGAGCAGTATACTGTGAAGCTATCATGTTGAGCCCCATGTCACCACACCCAGTGCTAATTTAAAATACGGCATGAGGGTGATTTATAGTCTATACATTAGTAATTTCCATATGCTATTTCCAAAATTTGTACAATTGACATATGCTCCGGTATGATTGTGAGGTGCTAAAAATGCCAAGTGGCTCCAACACTGCAAGAACATTAAAAGAATAAATGATACTCATTATTTATTGAAAAAATAAAACCTGAAAGGCACTGGATTAGGTTATGACATGGTCAGTTACTCTTATGCTTTTCCAATATTGAAAGAAAACTGATCTGTTATCTTCAGGTGTGAATCAAGACTGGAAATAAAGTAGACATTTCTGGAAATCCTATTAATTTTTTCAGATCATTACAAACTGAGCAATAAATTAAGGTGTTTGAGAACTGTTCTAATGAAGCTATGAACTCAGAAAAACTTGTTTCACATCAATAAAAATTCTACTCTCACAGTCAATTTTGACCACAACAAGCACATTGTAAATACATATCACTGGTTGCTAGCAAAAAAGAGGGAAAGAAATTGATATTACAACCCATATCCACTAACTCAGTGCTATGTCAAAAACTACTCCTACTTCCCACTGATGGCAATTCAATAGCTGAGGGCTTACAATTGAAAAGCTCCATATCAGACTCTTTAAATTATCTAACGTTATTCTCACAACAACTTTGTAAGGTAGATGTCACCCCTATTTTGCAGATAGGAAAAGTGAGGCTTAGAGAAATTAGATAACTTGCCAAATATTGCCAACTGTTACTAAGTGGAAAAGCAAGGAATCAGACTCAAACAACATAATTTCTGAACCTGCCCTCAGAGACCATATGTGAAAAAGAACAAATTGACTAGAAGTGGAATCACAGCTTCAAAATTGTATTCCAGTTTGATAATTTTATATAGTAGAAATATCTAACTTTGAAAACCTTTATAAAAATTGTTCTTAAGTTTCTTTCTGAAAATAAATATTTATAAGACAACTGCTCTAGTCATTCAAGAGAACAATATTATGGGAGAAAAGAGAGGAGAATGTGCCAGAATAAAAGAAACTAGAGACATAACAAGTAAATTTAATACACGGTCTTTATTTGAGTCTTGGTTAGAACAAGACAACTAAAAATACTTTTGACAGGGCCGGCCCAGTGGCATAGCAGTTAAGTTCACGTGTTCCGCTTCAGCAGCCCAGGTTTCATTGGTTCGGATCCTGGGCATGGACCTACTCACCACTGATCAAGCTATGCTGACATGGCATCCCATATAGAAGAGCTACCACTCTACGACTATGATATATAACTATGTACTGGGGCTTTGGGGAGAAAAAAGAAAAAGAGGAAGATTGGCAACAGATGTTAGTGCAGGGCAAATCTTCCCCCAAAAAGACTTTTAAAAAATCTTTAAAAAAAACACTTTTGACAAAATTCTAGAAATTTGAATAGGGACTGAGTTTTAGATTATATGTTGAATTATTAATGTTGTTAGATGTTGCTGGTGTTGTGTTATAGAAGGAAGGTTTTTTAGAGATAAATACTGAAATATTTATAGATTAGCTACCATGATTTCTGTAATTTACCTTAAAATATTTGAGCAAAACAATCGATTAAGCATCTATAGCAAAATATTAACAACTGTGAAATCTAGGATATGGATGTACGGTTGTGCATTATGCTCCCCTCTTCACTTTTCTGTATGTTTGAATTTTTTTCAAAATAAACAGTCAAAATTTTGAAAATTGCTCATATCAAAAACTTCAATGTTTATCTTTCAGCTCTGAAACGGTTGTCCTTGACCAGTATCTAGAATCATTATTTTTTTTTTAATCCTCTGCCCTTCGGTAAATCATATTTTTGACAGAGGAAAAATGGTGTTCCATCACACGAACTCTCAGAAGGCAACCCCTCTGCTTACTCTGAGAGGCTAACAGGAAAAGGTGGGAGATCTGTTCCTGGTCGGAAGACCTGGGCCATGCTTGTTTGAGTCTCCTTAAGTGTTATCAATCACTATCATGCTTCTTATCAATCAAGTAAATTATTCACTGAGAACATCTTATTGTCACCACGTTCATCAGGAAGAAACTGATGCACAAAGGACTACTGTCAACCTCAGTGAATTACAACTATCCTTTCTTTGTCTTTGAAACCAAATTTCTTGACGGAAGTAACCTTATCCTAAATCCAATAAATTTCAAAAAAACTCAACTGGAGAGCTATAAAACCTGAAAATTCTCTTGTGCTTTCTCCTCCTTTGCTTCCAGTTACCATCCTACAAGGATCAGCTGAAGACAATCAATCAATTGGATCAAACATCCTAAGAAGAAAGAGTCACACCAGGCCAGGTATATGGATATTTTAGACATATTGGGGACTAATATATTCTAATGTTAACTACACAGCTTTCAAGTTATATACAAATGTTAAGTAACAGAGGTAGTTGTTCTAATACAGTTATTCTACCCTCTTCTTGTGAACTGCTAAACTGTGTGATAACAGACCCAACATATATTATTAGAAGAAAATTTGTTCAATGGGGAATGTATTTTAATCTTGAAAATAAAGAGAAGGAAATCTGACAGGATATTAGGAACCTGATAAAATAATAATAAGAATTCCTTTCCCAATTGTGCCAGGAGGTTTTCTTCTTGGCATACTAGTGCTATAATAATAACCACCACTGAATCTTTATCGTGGACCAGACATCATCCTCAGTACAATTTGTAGTATATATTATTCCAATCAATCCTCAGGACAATCTTAAGATGTAAGATGGCAACTCACTCAAAGTCACACAGTAAGTGGTAGAGATGGGATTTAAACCAAGTATGACTGGCACTAACACCAGTTCGATAAACCATAGGGCCATCTTGTGAAGTGTACTTGATCTGAGGGCACACCACATTGAGGTGTGCATGCTAATTTACTTACCCTAATATGCACTCTGGCTACATAATGATTTAACCTTTTGATTTTGTTTTCTGAAATCAAGCTGACTTCTACGTATTGTATACATAATCAAAAGAAGAAAAATAAAAGGCCATGTCGTTCCCTTACTCTCCCCTCCTACAACCCGTAGCCAAAAGCACAATTATCTTTTGGAAGTAGTTACTCAAAAAAAAAGATTAAATCTGTACTATGTGCTAAGCAGGATGATATAAAATGAATAAAATATAATTCCTGTCCTTTAAGGATTTAGAAGAAGGACATCAAATGGCAAAATCTTCAGTAGAATGAAGTTTGGAGAAGAGTCCATTTGATATGTTTCTTTGTCCTAAGTAACAGCGTCATAATACAGAGACAAGGAACATCTTCCTTGCCTAAAAGAACATCATGGAACTTGTTCAAAACCATGTTCGGTAATATCAGGTAGTTTGTATGATGGTTCACTAAACAGGAAGGCTTCTAGAATTACAGTAGAAATAAGAAGAAAATTATTTCCTTCTTTATTGCCAAACTTCCTAAGATCCTACCCTTCCTAAGCCATCTTTAGTATCAATGGAAAATACTCATGCTACAAGCTGGTTACAACAAGAATAATTCTTGACTCTCCTCCATTGCTTTCTCTCTGAAAGAATGTGTTTTAGCTTGAAGTAATTTTGCCTCACCATTATGGAGTGAAAATATACACATAATTTTCAGAAATCATTGCTCTCTTTTAAACTGTATTTTCTAACAAAAATAAGTCATTTACTAAAATGCATCCCTTTCCCACAGTATCATAATTAATAGTGAGCCCTTTTTCTACTTTTCCCAGGAGCCAACAGAAAAAGATGAAAAGTCTGCCACTGCTGGTATGCATCTGTGCACTGAGTGCTAGCTTCTCAGTAAGTATTCACCCAAACAACTTTTATTCTTATGTATCAATAACCAACATCTAGTGTGTATACCTAATTTAGACTCAAAAAGCACAATACGCAATTCCTATTTTCAAGAAGCTTGACATCTTTTGTTTTCTGTGAAACATAAAACAGATAATTAAAGCATAGGAAATGATTTGTTTCCATTTCCACCCATTTGAATCCATTCTCAGTGTGTCAGGAAGCTTCAGGACGATATAGTGCACCCAGGGGAGTGATATAACGCTGGGTTCCGGAGAGAAAACAGACTGCAGGGAACAAAAGTTGAGGTAAAGAGACCAGTCGACAAGCTATAGCAGTGGTCCAGAGGAAAAACAAAGATGATTTGTACTAAATGTCAGCAATTAAAACAAAAGATGAAGGTGGATTTAAGATATACTTTGGTGATTGTCTACCATAACTTCTGCTGGATTGGGTGTGTGGTTAAACAAAAAAAATGAACAAAAGTGTTCTGTTTTAGACGTGTTAAATTCGAAATGGCTATTAGATTTCTACAAGGAGATGTTACCACCCAACTTGGTATACGTTATCTGGAGTTCAGAAAGAAGCTAAGGGGTAAAGTCTATATTTAGAACGTATTTGAAGCCATGGGACCTTAGGAGATCACCTAGAGAGAACCTGTAGGAAGTCTGGATATGGATAGAGAAAATGGAGGAACCACAAAAGGGGACAGGAAAGTATGGTTTCCAAAACCAAGAGAAGATTACAAAATGGACCCTATTTCAAGATATTTAAGGTCTACTGGAAAAGGAAGATTAAAATTAATAATGATTCAAGGTGATACATGGTGTAAAAAATAACCATATTTGTCTCTCAATCTATATACCAATACGTATTTGTTCACGTTTATTTTGACAAATTTGAAGAAAAGGTAAAGAAGTGGAATGTAGATTATTGAACGAGGTTGGATGTATTGAATGAGGCCTAAGAATATGCGGACTGTAAAGAGTATATAGAGAGGGCATGAGAAATGATAAGGTGGATGCAATTTACTCTTGGATACTCTCATATTCCCCCACATAATATCCCCCCAAAAAATCATCTTGGGCTTTTCCCTGGGCCCTAGTGCTGATTTCTGTGATTGTAGCAGAAAGTGCACTCAAATTGGGCTCAGAAGATATGGGCTGAAGCCCATCATCTGAACATCCAGATGAATCTTGAATTACAATCTATCTACAGGGCCCCAATTTCTTTACGTGACAATAGCAATAACAGCATACGCTTTACAAGCCTGTTGAAGAGTAAATGAGAACACTTGTATTTATAAATTATAATGCATAGTATAGATGTAAAAGTTAGGACCATAAGATCGTTATAATCTCTATTCACATACTAGTTGGTAAGGATTTAAGGTCTGAATATGCATGGTGCTACTAGCTTTTTAATAAATTAAATTTTAACAAGGAATCCCTGGTCACCAACACCTCTAGATTGAAAGAAATGACATTCAAATCAACACAAATTATTGTGTGGTTATGGAATGACTAAAGCTGGGTTGTTATTTTGAGGAGGCCCTTTATGGCACTTCCTGTAAATCTAAGCACCTGAAGAATCATCCCTTCCACATGTTCAGAATAAATAAAACTCCTTAAACTGGCCAATTCTCAAAATGCTCCTAGTGAGAGAAAGAATTTCCACAGAACTTGAATATGTGGAGGTATCATAGGAATACTTTGACCCGGTCCTTAGAAAATATGGGAGGTACCAGAGAGTGGCTCCAACCCACAGTCAGAGAAGACCAGCCCTGGGGTTCTGGCAACAACCTACTCTGCTTTTGTGGAGCGACTTCAGGGAGCAGATAGTCTGGCCCTTCTCTTCCAGATGCCCCCCAAAAACAATGAGAGGATGTATTCTGGAGTCAGATTAGAAGTTCTATTAAATATAACATTACTTAAATATACTGCTTCCTTCTTCTTTGGAAAGAAGGTTTTCAAATGGTCATAAAAATAGACTAGTAATAAAACATGAAGACATTTACTGTGCTTCCTAATTTCAAGTAAGTGCCATTTGACCTTACACTCTTCTAGTCCACCTCCTTTCTATTTCTCTATTTCTTTCACAGCCTATTTTTTCCTCCTCTTCCAACTCCTCAAATCTGGCATTCCTCTGGTTATTTTAGGAATCTTCTGCTTCCTCCTACCCTCCTTTCTTGCTCCAAGTATCATGTGCCTCTCTATACTTCCCCTCCCTGACTCCAGCCCACTCTCCCCTCCCCCCTCACTGATTCCAGCCCACTCTCCCCTCAAAAGTGTGGTTTGCATATGGAGACACATTCTCCTAAAAGTTACTTCACCTCTCTGGGACTCAGTTTCCTCAGCTGCATAACAAAGATAATAATAGTACCCACCTTAGGATGTTGCTAAGGAATTAAGTAAATTTATATTTGTAAACCAGTTAGAATAGGGCCTAACACGAAGTAAGTGCTACATAAGGATCCTTTTTACAAAAATAAATAACAAATATGAACAGGCAAATGAGGATATCTTTAATACACTCTTCCTGGCTTATCTATATTTATTATAAGCACCTCCATACTTCAGTCATCTAAGCTCAAACCCTTAGAGGCATTTTCAACTCCTCCTCCCCTCAAGCTTCCCTAAGCCCAATTCCAACCAAGAAGTTCTGTTAAAGCCATCTGTAACTGCCAATCATAATAATTAATCAATATATTTTAAGTAAACTAATCAAACTGGTCAATTGACACATGTTCTATGCTAAGCTAACATTAAAATCAATAGGATTTTAATTAATTTGCCTTCATAACAAAACGTGATAGATATTATTTTGGTCACCTTAATTAAAATAGCTGAAACTTTTTCACATCCTAATAAACACTTTTAAATGTTAAGACTTTATTCGATGAGAAATTAGTTTCTTTATTATCAATTCCATGCATTTGTTCATTCAATAGATATCTAATGGGTGCCTGTTTTGCACCCTGTAGGCATCGTTCCAGGTACAGGGCATACAGAGATTAACCAAACGAAACCCTTGCCCTCATGAAGCTGATCATCTGATTAAGAGAATGAACAGCATAACTGTTTCAAAGCATAGAAATCATAGCATTATACTTCAGATCTGGAATTTAATTTAATCCAAATCATTTCATAAATGAGTAAACTGAGATCCAATGATTCAAAGTCACTCTGTTATTTAATGGCAGATGCAGGACAGACCCAAACCTCCAGTGATGGTCTGCTGCAGTGTGTTTCAAACATGTTCCTCTAAGATCTGGGAGTTCTTCACATCACCCTCAAAGAACATTTGGAAAGGGGGAGATTGTGCTGCTGGAATGTGAGGCGCCCGATCCTGTTTCAATCAGAACAGTTTCATGATTATCTGGATTTTGCATATGGAATCTCCGGGGAAAGATTTACTTGAACCTGACCTGCTTATTTCATATTAGAAAACCATGGGCCAGCCCCGTGGCTTGGCGGTTAAGTGCGCGCGCTCTGCTGCTGGTGGCCCGGGTTCGGATCCCAGGCGCGCACCGAGGCACCGCTTCTCCGGCCATGCTGAGGCCGAGTCCCACATGCAGCAACTGGAAGGATGTGCAGCTGTGACATACAACTATCTGCTGGGGCTTTGGGGGGAACATAAATAAATAAAATCTTAAAAAAAAAAAAAAAGTAAACCACTGCCCTCTACTGGAGAGGATCTCCTGAGAGGGTCCATGGTCAGGGGAGCATCCTGGGTTGAGTTACAGACTCTGAATTTCTATGCCTTTTTAAGAGAGATCTATGCAAAAACATCAAAGTTATGTGGATCAAAGGCCATTATTTTAACTTATGGATGTTCTCAGTTAAGAATTGAAATGTCCTGGATAATTTAAGTTTTTTAAACAATTAATGCTTTTCGAAGTTATTTTTGAGGCTGAGTATATTTATCTCTGAGGAAGTTATCTTAGCTGAACAACTCTGCTAGTCACTCAGAAGTTGCCACTTTACTTGGTGGTCTAAAAAGGCTTTATGTGGAATTATCAGGAGGAAAAACGTAACCTATTCTTGCTTGGAACTTTGGAATGTGCCCTCTTATCCTTACGTCAATATTTCTTTTCTCCAATTTAAATTAATATAATTTAAAATTTAAAAATTCTAGTACGACATGGAATACAAAAAAAGAAAGAAGAATATAGACAAATTACGGTATGTTTAGGGATAAGAAAATGAAACAGTGATGGTACTCTAACTCCAATCAAGCCAGCAACGGCTAAAGGAACTAAGAATGCTAATCTCGTAGAATATAAGACCCAGACGGCACGGTAGGTATATTCAAATTTTGAAGGGCTCCAGGATCTACTACTTGCTGCCAATGCGTAGAATTAAGACCAAGAATGGAAATATGAATAAATAAATCTCTAATCACTTAAGAATGGAAATCTCGAGAAACAAACTCCATTCAGTGTCAAGAACTCTCTACTAGGCCACCTTGGGAGATATGGTGAGTTCTCCATCAGAAGAGGTGGTCAAGGATAGACTGGAAAGCCACAGGAGGTGTAATGGAAAAAGATCAAGCATCATATGTACAGCTGGACTAGACCAGTGTTCTTTTCAGATACGAACACCTTTGAGAAATCATGAAAGCTACAGGTCCTCTATCTCCACAAAATGCATAAACATGCAAAATTTTCTACAGAATCATAGGATTCATGGACCCCCTGAGTTTCTGTAATTCTAATATTTACAATGATAAAGTTAAAAGGTAATGGCCAAAGTTCTTTCTCCAATTTAAAAAGGCTAAAAACTAAGTTTTCTGCAATATGGAGGATATGAAACTGAGGTGATGTATTGGTTAAGTTGGCTGTTTGGGTTTTTGTTGTTTGTTTTTTGTTTTTTGAGATGATGGATATGAGGGGTGTAATTCCGAAAGCAACCCCTGGATCTCAGCTGAATGTCTTTGACTGAAGTTTCTCGGACAGAGTGCAGCAAGCAGGGAGCCTTTTTGCTCAGGCCTCTGGCAGTAACTTGACCATGTTCTACCAGAGAAACTGCAAGCACAAAAGGGCAGATCTAGCTAATTCTCCAGGCTTGAGCCCACAGGAATACATCTATTCTGGCTAGCTGGGAAATAAACACTTGGCAAAATGAAACTCTCTAATAGCAAGTTTTTATTCAGATTTGGTGAAATTAGAAGGATTTCAACCCTTAAATCACTCAACCCACTGCAACCCGGTTTCCAATCCCAAAACTCCACAAATACTGCTCATCCCACATTCAGCAATAATGCTCTAGTTGATAAATCAAAGGATATTTTCAGTTCTTGCATTTTCTTTCTTTTCTACAGCTCAGTGAAGGTCAAAAACAGCAACGGAAAATATATCACAAGAAGAATAGTGTCCGTCAATATATATTAGACCACCGCTCACCATTTCATCCTCAATTTCGACCTGATAGGAAACTATTAATTCAAAAGCATTTCCTTTTTAATCAGCCCCGAAAGCCTTCAAATTCAATAAGGAAATACTACACATTGCCAGAATATTTGAGGCCACCTAAGTATCCAATTAAAAATAACACCGTGGTCAACAATAATACCTCAGAGGCTACCACCCAAATCCCATCTGTGAGTCCCACATCTACTTCCTCCAAAAATGTTCTCTCTCCAGGTGTGATACCTTTTGTTCAGAATGCTACCACGACATCTGCAAGAGAGAATAATGTCACCACAGGCTCTTCTGCAGCTACACCAGCACCACAATCTTCTCCAGCTCCACCAGAGACCACAGCTGCCCCAACTACATCTTCCCCGGCTACAACAGCACCACAAACTCCCTCAGTTTCGGTGGAGACCACAGATACTCCAGCTACAGTTCCCCCAGCTACACCAGCACCACAATCTTCTCCAGCTCTGTCAGAGACCCCAGCTGCCCCAACTACATCTTCCTCAGCTACACCAGCACCACAACCTTCCCCAGCTTCACTGGAGACCACAGCTGCCCCAAATACTACACTTAATCCTTCCCCAACCACTCTTGCACCTGAAACTTCCCAAACTACAGCTGCACCCACAACCCAAACTCCTACTCCAGCCACTACTCAAACGACTGCTGTTGAACAACCAACTTCATCTTCCCCACAAAATACACTTCCTCAATTCTGGTTAGCTATTAGTAAGCTATGGGAGCTATTTTTGCATATTATACAGCAGCAATAGTACATCATACACTGTGAAGTGTTCTGTCATTAGATATGATTTATGAATGCAGAACTACCACCTTTTCCTTTACCACCAATCTCAAAGTGAAAATTATAATATTCCTCAAATTTAAAGTGCTATCACTAATCTTTGAATCTAACTATTCACCTCACATGATCTATTATCAAGAAAAAACACCTCTATCCCATAAATCAGTTGCATGACGATAATTTAAGATCACTTTGTGGAACCTACAGAGATAGCCCACTGAGTGGAGAGAAAGCCATTTGATAAAGAGAGAAAACTATATGGATCAACAACCATTTACCTCTCCCTAAATGTTGGAAACTATAAGGTCACTACATTGTACCGCCAATCAAAAACCTACCCAAATTACCTAACCCCACAAATATAAAGGGATAAAATTGGGTCTCTCCAAATGAACAAAAACATCTAAATATCTATAGATAGATCTATCATTGTACTATTGATCAGTGACAAAAACCCTTGATTGTTAAACAATCATCTTAAAACTTTAAATGAAATTCCATTCCACAAAATGTGAGCCAAGAAAGGGGAAAGTTGATTTGAAGTGAAGATCTGAAGTGAATGAAAATGGAATCTGGCAGCCAAGCAGAAACCAGGACTCTGGCACTACATTTTTGAGAGCATGTAATTGTTTAGGCTTCATGGTCGACATTTATTGCATTATATCTAAGTTAATTTAGATCTGATGTGCTTGATTCTAGCCTCTGTGAACCACAAGAAGACTTTTTTTTTGTATGTTCCATAATGCTCATAATATTTTACTATTAATTCAATTTACCACTAATTCAATTAATTTACATTAATTTAATGTGAAATGTATTCAACCGTGGAATATTTTCTAAAACTTTTAGCCATATATTTGAATGTGTTTTAAAGCAAATCATACCAAACTACTGCCCTGATGTCAAGTTTGCAAAATTGCCTCTGAAAATAAACCCTGACTCTAATCAGGAGAAGAATAAAAACTATCTACGTGGTATATAGAGATGATGTTAATTTGGGATGTGGAGGTATTTTTATTTCCTGTCACTACTACTAAGAACTCTGATGACTCTATTTAGATTTTTTCTCAACTAATAAAGACTTCGCATGGCAATCTATTTTCATTGTGTGTATTTGGAAGCTCCTTGTCTCTCCCAGGTTCTGAGACAGATGACTTATCAACTCTGCCACTAGTTAGCCAGTGACCTTGGTAAGGTACTCAATATCTCTGAACATCAGTTTTTTAATCCTTCAAACAAAGTGGTTAATTTATTTAGATTAACTTAATCTTTACTTAATCTTACTTAATATGTGTTTCCAATCCACATTCTGTTTGCCCTAAGCTTCTGAGAAAGATAATTAAAGACCCTCATCCCTTTCGTTTAACTCTGTTCCTTCCAGTCTCATCTTAGAGTAGCTCTGTACCTTTTTCAAAGAAGAATAGCAACTAGTTCTTTCCCTGGGAATATTTCCCTGTTTTAGAATGGCCAAGATATGTTATCTTGAGGCTGAAGCCTTCACCATTATCAGCATACACTTCATTTATATGAATTGGAACTCTAGGTTAACATCTGAAATGGAATGGAATGGAACAGAACAGAACAGAATAGAATAAAGAATTAATCACATTATCCTCACTAAGAACTGTGCGCACTACAATGAACACTACACCCAATTGCCTTCAGCATTGTGAGAGACAGAGAAAGGGAAGTGATCGATACACGCATTGATCAGAAATGGGTTATTTGGCCTATGGCTTATTAGTGTTGATTTTCTGGTATATGATTATATGTTTTATAATTGTAAAGAGAAGGTTAACATTATGTAATATCTTTTTATTAACATAACTTATGATTAGTTAGAAAGCAAAATGAGGGAGAATTCTATCTATTGTGGACAAAAGTGTCCAGAAATTTTACTATATTTTTTGTAAAGGAGAATATATAGATAAACATTTTTAAAGTTTGTGACAACTCTAATATTTTATTTGAACCTTTATAAATTGCCCTTAAAATAGCTCATTTTATTACTAAAAGAAAATAATGAAGAAGTGAAAAATATAGAGGCATGGTTCAAGCTTCATTGCTAGATCTAAAAGTATAAGTGGCAATAACTTTGAGAAAAATTTTGATTCTAATCAACAAACTTCAACTAAAATTTGAGGCTCTCCAAAGGAAGAAAGTAATGTGTACAAAACCAACGAAAATGGCAGACTCTAATGCATTATTCATAATGAAATTCCTGAAAATGAAAGCTTAAAACCTTCAAGTTTAAAAAGACACTGGAACCTAGCACACTTTACTTCTTAATAAAACCACTGAATATCCTCAAAGAAAGAAAATTTTAAGTTTAGGCAAAATTTCTTAGCTATCCATGACTGTTAATGAAAAAAGCTTATATATTTTATTTAGTTGCACATTATGGAAGATAAAAAAGTGGATCATTAAAATGCTGAGAAAATTTTCCTTCTAGTGTATATGGATATAGCATTTATGACTATTCAAGATAAATCAGCTAATAAATTAAAAACTAGCACTCAGTGATAATACATGTATTCATTTTCTCATTGCCGTTGTGAAAAATTACCACAAACTTAGTGACTTAAGGCAATACAAATTTATTGTTTTATAGTTCTGAAGGTCAGAAGTCCTCAAATCAAGGTTGCAAGACTGCATTCTGAGGCTCTAGGGGACAAACTGGTTCCTTGCCAGCTTCTCAAGGACACTTGCATTCCTTGGCTTGTGCCCCCAACCTCCATCTTCAAAGCCAGCAGCATAGCGCCTTCCAATCTCAGTCTCTGCTTTTGTCTTCACACCATCCTTTCCGACTCTGGCTCTCTTGCATCTCTCTTTTTCTTCTAAGAACATTTGTGATTACATTGGGCTGACCCGGATGATCCAGGATAATTTCCCCACCTCAAGGCTCTTAACAACATCTTCAAAGAACCTCTTGTCATGTAAAGTAACATATTCACAGGTCTGGAGATTTGGACATGGACATCTTTGGGGGGGGCAATTATTCTGTCCACCACAATGCATTAGCTCATCAAACATGTACTAAGAAGAATATGTGGAAGCATTGTTTATTGTACTGGTACAGCCTGTTAAGTATTTTTGCCATTCAAGTTAATGATAGCCTTGATAGAGGAAACTGCATGATTCTTTCAGTGTATACCAGGTATGTAATGTGGGGCAAGATAGTTTTAAAAGGATTAGCTGTAGTGTCTAAATTTAACCTCACATACAAGCACATTAAATATATTTACAGAATTGACAAAATTGGTCAATATAAATTAAATTGGCAGATATATTTATATTATTAGAAATAGAATTACTTATAATTAGAAATTCCTATACTTTTTTCAGCTTTATTGAGAAATAATTAACAAATAAAATAGTAAAATATTTAAAGTATACAATGTGATGATTTGGTAAACATATACATTGTGAAAGGATTCCCCTCATCAAGTTAATTAACACAACCATCACCACACATATTTACTTTTTTTTTTTCTTTTTTTGGTGATAACAGCTAAATTCTACTCTCTTAGCAAATTTTATACAATCCAGTGGTATCAACTATAGTCACCATATTATACATTAAATCCTCACACCTTATTGTTCGTATAACTGAAAGTTTGTACCCTTCTACCAACATCTCCCTATTTCACCTGCCAGTCCCTGTCAACCACTTTTCTACTCTCTGTTTCTATGTTTGACTATGTTTTTTGTTAAGATTCCACATATAAGTGATACCATGCAGTATTTTTCTTTCTCTGTCTGGCTTATTTCACTTAGCATAATGTCCTCCAGGTTCATCCATGTTGTCACAAATGACAGGATTTCCCTCTTTTTTAAGGCTAATATTCCATTATATATATATATATATATAGATATATATATACAGCTCACATTTTCTTGACCCATTCATGTGTTGACAGACACTTAGGTTGTTTCCATACCTTAGTTGTCATGAATAATACTGCCATGAACACAGGAGTACAGATATCTCTTCACTACAATGGTTTCATTTCCTTTGGATATATACCCAGAAGTGAGATTGCTGGATCATATGGTAGTTCTATTTTTAATTTCTTTCCAGGGACGCAAGGATGATACAACATCAGCAAATCAATCAATATGATACACTACATTAACAAAATGAAAGAAAAAATCATATGATCATCTCAATAGATGCAGAAAAAGCATTTGACAAAGTTCAACATCCATTCATGCTAAAAACTCTCAACAAAGTGGGTATAGAGGGAATGCACCTCAACATAATAAAGACCACATATGACAAGCCCACAGCTAACACCATACGCAACAGTAAAAAACTGGAAGCTTTTCGTTTAATCAGGACTAAGATAAGGATGCCCACTCTCACCACTATTACTCAACATAATACTGGAGTCATAGCCAGAGCAATTAAGCAATAAAAAGAAATAAAAGGCATCCAAATTAGAAAGGAAGAAGTAAAATCTTCTCTATTTGCAGATGACACAATATTACATACAGAAAACCCCAAAGACTCCATTGAAAACTATTACACCTAATAAATTCAGTAAAGTTGCAGAATACAAAATAAATATACCAAAATTAATTGCATTTCTATACACTAACAACAAAAAATCCGAAAGAGAAATTAAGAAAATAATTCCATTTATAATTGTATCAGAAAGAATAATAAAATACCTAGGAACAAATTTAACCAAGGAGGTGAAAGATTTGTAAACTGAAATCTATAAGACATTGATTAAAGAAGACACAAATAAATGGAAAGATATTTCATGCTCATGGATTGGAAGAATTAATATTGTTAAAATATCCATACTACCCAAAGCAATCTACAGATTCAATGCAGTCTCTACCAAAATTCTAATGGCATTTTTAAGAGAAATAGAAAAAAATAACCCTAAAATTTGTATAGACTTCAAAGACCCTCAATAGCCAAGCATTCTTGAGAAAGAACAAAGCTGGAGGCATCAT